GGCGGGGATCCCGCGCTGCTCGCCCGTTGAGGGCCGTCGGCAGCACGGGCGGGCACACTCTGTACCCGATTCAGTCCCTCCTAGGAGAAACCGGGAGAGCCGCGCTCAATGAATTAGGGACTTAATTGCTGCCTTCTAGACGCCGAAGAGGACAAAATGTGTGTAGTACTGAGGCAAAAATAGCGTTAATTAGGTTATTAGACATCCTTTCAGATAGCAGCTTTTGAGGCTTTTTAGGTAATTGATAAGATTAACAGCTACCTTAGGCCAAGCGCTCATTCAGGGGTTCGGGTAATGGAAACAACTGCGTCTAAGGTGACCTGTGGGAATTCTCCATCGGCGGTGCTTCCAAGGAGCTTCCCCACACCCCAGGCAGCAAAGCCCAGGTGTAGGGACCAGAGAGCATTTTCTTACATTTTCAGTGTAAGTGTCTTCCGGTAACACCTACAAATCAACTCTTTTGAAGGTGTTTCTCCCTTGGGTTTATAATAAGCATGACAAAATGGCAAATAATTTTTAAGATGTTTAAGGAAAAAAAATCTTAGCAATGCAAGAGTTACTTTAGGAATACAAGTGGAAAAATGCTAACACTTCCAAGTCCCTCTTTACAATCACCTACCTTGTTTTCTCATTACAACGTTTCAGCAGATAAAAGTTTGCAGCCAGAGGTTTACAAATACTTGTTAACTATTTAAGGTATTTTTACTTTTCAGACTATTTAGACTTTGGTTGTTCACAGTCTCCCACCTTCCTAGTAGCTCCAACCCCTCTCCCCAAGAAAACAACACACTGGTGCATTTATTTAATGCTTTAGTCATTGAAATCAAACAAGTAAATTAGTTGCAAGGGAAAATATTCGAATACAAATTTGGTAAAGTACATTCTCCTCACAGAGGACTAACCACGTGCCATAGACCCATGTGCGAAAGAGAGCCTATAAACAATTCTTAGAGCACGGAAGCATACCCTAGGGCAGAGAATTAACATCATTAGTTTCAACCTAAAGATGATAATAAAATAAACATGAAATTAAGCTCTGGAATGCAGAGGCACTAACTACAGCTGTCTTGTCATAGTTGTACATCACTACTCCAAAGCTATTACAAAAGCTCTACTAGGCTTCTCCAATCAATATGACTAATCCTTAGCAGGCAGAAGTCAATATAGCTCTACTAAAGTCACTAAAATCTGTGACTTCATGAGAACCGATGTATCCCTAATTGTGGCTCTGGAAAAGCTACCTCATGTACCAGTCACAAAACCATGGCAGAATAATGTCAGTATTACTGAAATAAAGATGCACAAATACTGAATAAGAATACAAAAAATATGAATGTCACACAATGTTACTTCAACAGTACTGGTATTTTTAACCAAACTTAATTTTTAAAAAGTCTACCATTCAGTACATATGTGAAAAGTTACAGCTGAACAACAGGTTTATAAAGAGATTTGTACCAGTTTAAGTAGAAAATACAAGTTATATCTTCCGGTTTGTATTAGTCTTAGCAAATTTCATACAGCCTTTGGTTTCAAAGTAATACAATGCAATTAACATTATAGTGCTTATTTAATATTCATTAGGAGAGGACGCTGTACAATTGAGAGAGAAAATGTGAAAAACGGGAGTACCAAAGTACTGTATTATAGAAAGTAAAGGCTGAAGCAAAAATACTCTTGGGTATATCCTGTACATCATGTAAACACACATTCAGAATAGTAAACAGGCTAAAATGTCTTCCAAGACTCCCAAAGTGTTACAATATAGTATACATACATATATGTATTATATAAACATCATCTTTAGGAAATGTAGCCCATTACATCCCAATTCTGTGCTTAACTCGTTTGTGATTCAGACAATACATTCATATATTAGCAGTACATCTCATTTATTATTTTGAGTTTGCTGGTTGCCATAGACAAGGACAGATCAAACAGTGCTGAGTCTTGCCTTTAACTCAGGCACTGTCAGTATTTAAGCAATGCTCAACTGTTCAAGAACCACCTTTCTTGTTACCAAAGCTGAGAATTTTCAGATTTATGTATAGCAAATCAAACTGAAATTCTGTTCTTTGCAGAACAGTAGTTTCCCAATTATTTTTCATTAATCGGGTAGAGCAAGTAGTTAGCTCTATTTTAAAAAGCAGATATTAAAAAATCAGCAATAAGCACACACCAGAAAGATTACTACTTGTTTATATAACATTCAGTCTCTCTATGGGGTTTTTTTTTAGAGTTCTACATAATAAGACTTAAAAAAGAGACCACATTTTTTGAATGTTGTAAGAAGCAGCTTACTTGCTCACCTACAACAAAAACCAAAAAAGTTTAACAATGTGGCTTTTAACAGCATTGTGATATACACAAACCCACTGTAGCAAAATGTTATAGAGCAGTACTAGCAACAATCCGCTATTAATGTACAAAATAAAGCTTAAGATGTTTGTGATTATGTTTTTAAGAAAGATCTCAGTGCTTCATAATAATTCCTTCTAGCATTAAACCTTCCTTACTTCTAAGTAAATCATGACTGACTGTCTTTCTTCAAAGCTTCTAGTCTTTGTAGCAATGCATTTCCAAACACCTCTCGATATGCAGGGCTGAGAGAGTCCAATAAGGAGTAGACAGTTTCATGGTACGGAGTTTGCAATCTGTCATCAGTCTGATCAAAATCGTAAGCAACTACCTGCAACAAAAAAAATCACTGGTTAAATTTCTGTGGTTAGTATTGCCTTGGAAACAACATTATCACAACATTTAACCCTGCCAGTCTGGGTAGTAGAGTAATGTAAGAACAAAAGATACTGGATTTAAATCACAACCTATGCTTTCTACTATGGGGCTTAGTGGTAATACAGTATTTAGACAAATACCTTTTGTCCAAAACTCAGAATATTAGTAAAATCTACCATTACAACCTTTGAAAAGAAGTCTTACATTTACATGTCTGCACAAAAAAAAACCCCAAATTTTTTGGGGGGGCAGGGGGGGGGGAAGAGTTGCATACATGCTGTATTACTGACTTATCTGGGTACCTGAGAAACCCAAAGACTGACATTCCTATAATAAATTGCTGCCTCAAACTTCATCATTTTGTGTCTCAAATAAATACCTGCTTTTTCATCAACTTCCCTTCTTGCTTTGTTGGAAGTAACTAGCTAAAGTTCCACTTTCTAGGAGAAAACACGTGGGACAGGCTTTCATAAGAGTACGAGCAGTATGTATGCTGTTTTGGTGTTACTGAAGTATTCTTTAGGCACCTTTTGAACATGATCATTGTCCAAAACAAAGAGGTTTAAGAAATCATAAACAAATTAGTTTACCCTGAGTCCTGCTTCGGTGAGCTCCAAGCAGTATCTATTCCTTTCTCTGGTTTCCACATTGATATATGCCACATCCTCTGCACAGCGAAGGGTTTTTGAGACAAACATGTTCCTGACGGCAAACAGAACATCATTCACAACAGCTTCAGCTTCTAGTCTCATATCTTTCACATCTGTTCCTTCGAAGTCTCTATAATCAGAATCCTCTTCAAATCCTGTATTATTGGGCAACTCCATAGGATTGTAATCAGTCTCCATTCTGTATATGGAAATATTTATTTTAATCATACCACTACACCCAATATATATTAACACTGTAAAACAAGCAATATATCATAAGCAGACAAACTTAACATTGTCCCAAAAGAGAAAAATATGAGGCCCAGTGACTTCCATAACTCATGAATTGACAGTCCAGAGAACTCAAACCCAAGATGCTGAGAGCAACTGCTTGGGAAGGCTACAGTAGCACAGAGAAGCGGCATCATCACCACTAACTTGCTGCTTCTTATGCAAGTAACTCGCATTGTTGTGTAAGACTCTCTTATGATTCAGCAGTAATTAATTCTGCACTTTGCTGATCCGGAATGCAGTAGGAAGACAAGTCATGCTTGGAAAACACTGAAATCAACAGCTGTAGAAAATAAAAACTACTGTTGGCAGATTTAAGAAAGACTTAGAAAAGTCTTTGAACTACATGGGTTATCAGAAACTATAAAGACATGTTAACAGCAGCTTTTTGTTTAGAAAATTCTCCTGTTGTGCTTTTATGCACAGCTGTCCATACGTTTCGGAGACATGCACTGCTGGCCTTTGGAAGCGACCGCTACCAAAAAGGGACAGACGCTGCGGGAGTTAACCACGGCGGCTCCAGCATCTGCCGCTCGGGTACCAGTGTCACCATGAGGCCCCAGCTAACGGCACCCATGGCGGAACCTGCCTAAGGCCAGCAGGGAAAATCCCTTGGGACGGTGTCCCGAGCGCTTCAGTAGCCGAGAGGTGCTGCCAGGAGGGAACGGGGGCTGGCAGTAAGCGATGTGCAACGCGCAAGGCGTTGCACGGGATTCATCCGTTCCTAACACATCCCACCTCGGAGCGATAAACACGTTCCCAAGAAGCTGAAGGCAACGAGGGAGCTGGCTACCGAGCAGCGCAACCTCCCATTCGCAGCGAATCACTCCCATTTACCGACCGCGAAGCAGCCCC